GAAAAAAAGAAACGTTAGATCAACGTTGAAAACAAACTAAAAATCAACCTTAGATTAACGTTGATCATTGATTCAACTAATAAGTTAGTTGAATCAATGATCCGAGTTTATAAACCTCAAAAATGCAGTTTTTTGCGCCGTGACTCTTTTAATCTAAAAAAACATTTATTTTTTGTACAGTATTGTGTTGTTATGAGTAAGAAAAGAAACACTATTCTTCATAAACTTATAATAGCTGTACAATAACTTATTCTATTGTACTGCACATCTTGTTTTCAATTTTTACAGACTTCTCTTATTATTATTAGTAGTATTATTAGTTTATTTTATATTATATTACTAACTGTTGCTATAGCATGACAAATAATCTACACTGTACCATTTTTTTAATGCAGGTAACTAAGTTATAGAAATTGAAAAGCAATTATTGAAAGCAAATAAAACCAAAAAAATAATTTATACATTTTTAGAACAATAACTTATACAAAATTAAAGTTATTTTTAAAACGATCTTGATAAAATCATGACATCGTTATCTTCATCACCAATATCAAATTCATATGTATTTTTATCGCCTTCTGTTATCAGACTCATTTTGATTTGGTGCATTTTCCACGATCTAATCAATATGTTGCTACCTTTAAACGGTCTAAATTATATCTTTGTGCATTGTGTATTTTTATTTAAGAACATTAGGTAACTGCATCGAAATAAAAATATCTTTAAAGTAAGCTACATTTGTACATTTTACAAGTATTATTATACTTCACATTGTTCACAAGCGAATATGAACATTAAATGATCAATAGTAGGAAAAAAACCCAACCTATTACTGATCCATGCCTAATTTACTTTATTATTGACCAAGATATCAACCTATTTGGATAATTATAAATTATACATCAACATCATACATCAACGCAAATACACACACATAACACAATACATTGCTTAAGTCAAACATTTGTTTAGTAGAACCGTTTTCCTTGGTCCTCTGGAGGGTCAAGATATCTACAATTAACTGTATTTATATATACATATATGCATATAATTATACACATATGTACACACACACACACACACATACACACACACACACACACACACACACACACACACACACACACACACATTATATTAGATCAGGTCAAGTTAAACTTTGTTTCTAATTTATTTGCCATTAACCTGCGAATTCAAAACAAATTTGTTCAAAAAAAAAAAAAAAAAAAAAACTAGTAAAAATACAATCAAATCACAAATCAATTAAATTAATGGAATACTTAAATTACAAATTAAGAAAAAATAATGAAATCATGATAAAAAAATCTAATAAACAAAGTCTTAATTAAGATCTGAAAAACCAGACATACAACTGAGAGGTTAAAGTTAATAGACAAATCAAAATCAAAGTGTGGCCCAGTAGCCTATGCTTCAGTAAAACGTACTTGCTGAGATTGTGTCTCGGTTGGCAGACACTAAATTTTGATATAAGATACTCATGCAACCTAATAACAGCTTGAAAAAGGAAAAAAACTAAATTTGATTTTAAACAACACGTTTTTTGAGTGATTAACCAAATACTTTTTTAAAATTTGTGATTAGGATTTTTGTCATTAGGTATTAAAGGTTTTTTAAACAGGTTTTTTTGTTAAAAAATTATTTGCCTTTATTTTTAAAGTAAAACACCCAGTGTCACATGGCAAACAAAAAACACCCATGTTTTTTTATCCATTTAAAAATCTTTCCGCCGTGCCTGTTTAAAGTTCTGATAAATCAATAAATAAGACAAATGCTTACCGATAAAAGAATATCATAGCCATGTCGTTATATAAAAAGAGAATACTTGTAATGGTTTATTTGTTTGTATATAAATAAATACTTTAAAGCTCATCTTAAAAAGTTACATTTACTTAATTTACATTACATTTAGCTAAAATAAATTAAGTTAAGAACAAATGAAGCATCGTAACGTGACAGAACAAAAAAAAATTAAAATAAAATGTTTATTATTGTTAATATTTTTTTTTGCGCTCAAATATAAGTTTTGGGAAATGACGAAAACAATTTTTTACATATTCACCTTTGATTTGATTTGTTGGAAAAGAAACAACAGTTTTTTGCTTGTATAGCTAACTAAACACATCAAGCAAATAAACAGAGAAATTCATTTCATTTCTTCCAAGTAGATAAAAAATAACTATAGAGGGTACTTTCACTACTATTATTGTCATCACTATTTATAATTTGCGAACCACAAGTACTTCTTTAATTATGCAATATTCGATGAGTTTTTTTACTGCATTGTTAAGAGAGACTTTGCAAAGTCGTTCTTAACAAAGCAGTAAAAAACGTATTCTTAACAAAGAAGTAAAAAACGTAAAAAACGTAAAAAACGTAAAAGTATTAAAAACTACCCATGGGTAGTTTTTAATCAATTAACAGCCAAATTAAGTGTGCATTACGACTGTATGTTCAGATAAGTATAACCTTTGCTAAATCAAAAAGTTAAGGTAGTTTTGAACGTAAATCTTTTTTACAGCTGCTTATAAGGCTACAGTTTAATGATTCTAATTAAAATCTTAAACACTTAATGCTAAGTTTTTTTTTTTTTCAAAAAATCTGTAACTTTGGGCACTGAACTAATAAAGTGCTTTGTATAAAGTTTTAGTGATACTTGTAGTGGCATTAAAAAAAGTTTTACGTCGCCACACTTGTAGTGACGTAACTTTTATCATCATGGATCAGAGTGCCATCTAGAGGCACAAATTTATGACGCGGTTTCTCCTGAGCCTCTTTATTTTTCTGTTGAAATCATTAACAATACCAAGACAACTCTTTGAATATGCTGCTATAGCTAAACTTTCCTATTGTTCTTCATATGTACTTTTCTAATGTTAGTAAATAGGAGTAGAGATCTTTTGCTAATAAAATGATTTAAGTACTGCCGTGGCGCTTTAGTAAGGGTTCTGGCTCAGAACCAAGAGATTCAGGTTTCGACGCTGGCTCTGGCCCAATAAGAGATATTGGCAAGGGCGGACTGCGCAAACTTCTTTAAATACTATTGCGTAGTGCTCTGTGGTAAGACCGTAGGTACTTCTTACGGTCTTACCAGAGGAGCCCATTTATAACCACAAAAAGAGAAGAAAAATTGTGGTAAAAAAGCATATTTTGTAAATTTTTTGGTGAAAAAGACTGTGTGTAAGTATTAAACTGGTATTTAAATTAATTTAAAAAGTTTAAAGATTTTGGGTTGCCGAAAAAATCCTAAATTTGCCCCCTCCCATAATAGATGGTCTGGATCTGATCCTCCATAAAAATATTAAAAAAAAACAAAAAAACATCAAAATATTAAAAAAAAAAACAAAAAAACATTTACTAAAAAAAAACTTAAATTTGTAAAAAAAAAATTATTTAGTTTTTTAATTTGATAATGTATTTAATGTTTATTATAATAATAAGTACACGAATGTTTTTTCCTACTCATTATCGACGTAACGCGTAGGTTGATCATAACCTACGCATTATATCAAAATTTTATATCTAAGTATGAACGAAATAATTATTAAAATTTTTAATCTTTTATTATAAAGTTCTATATGTATCAGGTGTATTATTTCTTATCGAACAAAAAAAATATCTGATTAATATTTTAAAGACTTTTTTACAAAATCTTCTAGCAGATTGATTATCGATCTGCTAGAAGATTTCGTAAAAAATGTTTGAGCGTTCGCAACTTTTTTCACTTATATTTCCGTTGTAGTACGAAACACGATTTAGGGTGGATCTATATCGATGATCGATATAGATTCACCCTAAGTCGTGATGCGTACTGCGACGAAAATATAAGTGATAAAAGTTGCGAATGCTCAAACACACACGAACCTCAATGCCTCATTTTTTCAATTACGAAAAAAATTGTTAAGCGTAAGTTATTATGTATAACTTATTAAAAAAACACAAGCCAAAGTAATAGTATATAGTAACATATATAAATTAATTAGCATGTAAGCCAAGTTTCTAGTTATGTCAAAAATCTTATTTATTTATTAACGTGAAACTGATTTATTTAATTGATATGCGTATGCTAAATTTAAGAATTTAATCTAGTAAAACATAGAGATTTTCACACGCAGATAAATTCAGGAGCACTTTAAGTTATTTAATTTAACTTTAACTTGTTTGGCTGTCGTATATCAGTAGGCAACTTCAGTTTATGTACAAGTTGTTATTTGGGGATGATTGGCGTGAGGTTTTAAGCGTCAAAATCTTGAGTGTCTCGCAAATTTTTCGAGTGTGCGTGTTGTAATCTTTCGAAGCATTTTCAAATTAGTTTAAAAAACTGACCAACATAATGTGACCTTGGTGGCCTTAACCTAAAATAATCTAAAGAAAATATATTAGTTATCTATTATTTATTACAGATTTTAGATTATACAATAAGCTTTCTAAGATAGAACTATTTTAATTTATAGTTTAACATAATTAAATTATGTTACAAAATTTTTTTAAAGACTTTATAAAATTTTTATAAAGTAAGTTTATAAAGTTTATATAGTTTATTAAAGTATATAAACTTTATGTCTTTTTAAAAATTTTTGTAATAATTTATTTTTTAATTAACTTTTAATTGTAATGTTTTTATACTTTCAAAGTATAAAAATATTTTAATTAAAAGTTAATTAAATAATAAATTATTACAAAAATTTTTAAAAAGACAAAGTTTATTTAATTTTATTTAAAAAAATATTTTATTTAAAAAAATAAAGGTTTTAACTTTATAATTTTTTATACTTTAGAATATTTTATACTTTATTATAATATAATAAAGTATAAAACCTTCTAAAGTATAAAAAGTTATAAAGTTAAAACCTTAACTTTATAATTTTTTATACTTTAGAATATTTTATACTTTATTATAATATAATAAAGTATAAAATATATTCTAAAGTATAAAAAGTAATAAAGTTAAAACCTTTATTTTTTTAAATAAAATTTGTTATATACTTAAGAATAACATTAAATGTCACCCTTTTGGAAAATCTTTGCTCTTTATTTTCTGACAAATACACAATATATTTGTTGTGAATATGTAATGGATTATGCTGGATGTATTCACAAACAAGAATTTTACAATCTAAATAACTCTACTTATTTCATTGGGGGCATTGTTCCTGCACATAGAACTAAGGATAGACAAACTATTCTTAACTACCCAGGTATATATTGGGCATCAACTATTGCACATACTATTAGAGAAATAAATATGAACAAAGAGCTTTTACCTCATATTCAATTAGGTACGTTTTTTTATTATTACATCACTTAAAGTTTTTTATGGTAATAATATGTGATACTCTTACAATTATTATGTGTATTTTTGAATATATATATGATATAGATTTATTCGTTTAATATATAAGTTATATTTTTATTTAAGATTAACAGAAAGCTATAAGCTCTATTTATCTAAAAATAATAGTTTTTTGTTAGTGCAAGTACTGCGTTTATGTATAAAACCATGTTGGTTTTATAACAAGGAATAGTTTAGTACTTTTTATATAAACAGTAATATACAATTTTGAAAAAAGTTATAAAACAAACAGCTTTTTTTTTCAAACTAATTTACTACCATCAAAGCTGCAAGCAACCACTATTAAGTTAGGAGTTACTAGAAAACAAAGAATGGTGTTAAAAAGCAAGGAAACATTAGACAGAAGAAAAGTTTTAGGTTGTGCTGAATAGCTCAATTGGTTAGAGCATCAAACGAAAAGTTAAAACTCGGGCTGTTGTACAAAACAGGTTCAAATCCTGCCACTGCCAACTCAGGGCTTGAGTAGTACTTTAGTTTGCAAAAATGTTGGTCAATAACAGACGCTACTTTGAATTAGTCTTAATGACTATTTGTGTCTGTTTCTATGCAAAGCCAACAATATGCGGTAGTGGTGTAGTGGTAAAACACTCGCTTCATAAGCGAGAGGTTCCAAGTTTGATTCCCACCACGTCTAGTACCGCGCTCTACTTGTTTCTCCACGCAGCGGCCTCTTTCGTCAAGGTTCGTGTTTCAGAGTTATAGAGTTGAGAGAGAGTTATAACCAATATTAAGTAGCCTCCTCGTCTGCAGTGGCCTTCTCGGTCTTGAGGAGGTGAATAACAACAACAACAAAAAAAAGTCAAAAATTCAAATGTTTAATTTAGGAAAATATGAAGATTTTTCCAAAGGGTTAATATGCAATGAAAAAAGGCTAGATTGATAAAATTAAAACATGATTTAATTTAGAACATGAGGGATAGATACAGTAAAAAGATATGACTTTGCTGCATGACTAGTCAAGCTAAAAAGAGTTTTAATGTAATTGGCATAGATATGATAGTTTGTTTAAGTAGTAACCATGATAGTATTTGTAAAAAGTGAAAGAGATGTAACCATACAACAATGGGAGAGTGGCTCAAGCTTGACAAATAGAGCAGGTCTAACTATGTTTACAATGCATTTTTGGTCCTTGTCTAGATAAGGAAGCGTATCATTACTCAAAGCCAAGGTATGACAAATATGACAACAATATTCCATACAGAGATGAATAAGAGATTTTTAGAGGTAGAGAATGAAGTCAGTAGTAATATAATGGCAAACAAGATAAAAAGAAGAAACCTTAGCCAATGCTAATTTTGCAATCAAATGTATACACGGTTTCCATTCAATTATGAATGATAATCTATAAAGATATAAAATAGAGGACTCAGTGATCATTTATTTATCAATATATGAATGTCAGCAATATTGCAATAGTTATTTTCAGTAAATAACTGAGTTTTAAATACCTTGAAATTTACAAGCCACAGTAAGTCCCAAGCTGTTTCAGAAGAGAGTTTCAAGATGGACTTAACCAGTTCTAAATGATCAAAAAGTGAAAAGTTTTTGTTAAGATAGAACTACTTAAGATATAAGATTTTTCAGGAAGATCATTAATGTAGATAAGAAACAATAAAAAACAGAGGATAGACCCTTGTGATACCCATGAAGTTATTGGAAATGAAGAAAAATATTGGTCTTTAGGGATGACTTTAATACTGTAATTAGAAAGAAATAATTTAATTATCTAAAAAACTATCCAGATACACCAGACAAAGCAAGACAGAACCACTTTCCAGCAGGCAGGAAAGAAAGATTCAATCAAGTACTTATTAAGTATTTTAGAGAGAATTAAAAAGAGTTTTAGAAAAATTTGTAAGAATATGACAGAAGTTTTGTCTTGACAGCAAGCTGTAGAAAAGTTGAATTAAGAAGTGACTTAGCAATTAAAGTTGGATTGATTTGAAACATAACATCATAAACATAAGTCTTCATAAACATAATATCATAAACATGAGAACTCATTGTATTATCTCCTAATGAGGATATAGCTCTAAAACTCAGTTTTATGGTTCCGAGGCCAGCTGGTAGTCAGGATTCCCAAACTCTGTGGTAGCTCTAAGAGAAGCTCATTCCATGAACAGCTGTAAAATATATGAGTATTAACAGTGCCATGTTGCGCATGGATGTTGTCCCTGTTCATACTTTTGGTGTGCATTGTTGGCATAGAACCTTTTATTCCCTCTCAACAACTCTCAACGAAGTAACCCTTTTCCACGGTTTTCTTCATTTCTATAACTAACCATTTTCCACGGTTTTCCTCACATTGTGCTAATGCAATTTCCAATTGAAACCATTACTTCCTTACTTATCAGCAAGACATTTCTCCAGAAAACAGATGTTTGTTTACTATTGCTAGAAACAATTGTAAAAAGATCATTTCAAGCCCGCTATTCTCAGTTCATGAAATCTCATTATTTCATCTTAAAAGTTTGGCTCTCGTAACCTCTGGAGAATCTTTAACAGTATCAATAATAAAGGCAAATCTGTTGTTCCACCTCTCTTGTATGGTTCAGATTTTTTCCTCTTACCTGAAAATAAAGTTGAATTATAAGTACTTTTCATCAATTTCATTTCTTGATTCTACTAGTTGCGTTCTACCAAATATAGCCGACAAACAGGTTATTAAATTGCTTAATGTTTATACTCCAGCTTATGTATCTTAAGTGATTTCCTGCTTAAACTCTTCTACAGCTTGTGGTCCGGAGAAAATACCTGTTATAATCTTGCAGAAGTGTTTTCCAGAGCTGTTGTCAATACTTTCAAAATTTTTCAACAAGTGCATATTAGAGCCTTGTTTTCCAGCATGGTGGAAAATGACATCTGTTATTCCTATTACCAAAAGTTCTAAAGAGCAATCTGACTTATCTAACTACCGTCTCATTAGTCTTATAACTATCATAAGCAAGGTTTTTGAGTCTTTACTTAACAAACATTTAATCTCTCATCTTGAATCTAATAACTAACTTTCTGATCTGATATGGATTTGAATCTTCTCATTTTACTGCTGATTTGTTAAAAGTAATAACTAATAGATTTTAACATTCTGATCTTCTCCATAAGATTTCTCTTACTTATTTCTTCTTACAGTGTATCTAATAACATCTTTAAATTTATTGAACCTTTCATTTCCAATCGTAGTATAAAGGTTTTCCTTGATGGACAGCATTCTACTTCATATCTTGTAAATTCAGGGTTTCCTCAAGGTTCTATCCTTAGCCCTTCCAAAAATCTTCACATCTAAAGTGGCATTGTTTGCTGATGATACAACCATTTATTCTTGTCTTGATAAGAAGCCAACACTCTCTAATTGTTGATTTATTGCTTATCTAAATCCTCATTTAGGAAATCTTGCATCCTCACTCTTTTTGAAAAAGTTTTTTTCTTTTTTGATTTATGAATATATCAGCTCCTCTAAAATCCTCTAACGTCCTCTTTTTTCAAAAACTTCCTAAAAATCCTCTATTATCCTCTAAAAAGTTAAAAATATCATAAAATCTCCTCTTAAACTCCTCTTTTTTATTAATTTTTATTTCTTGATGGTAGTATAATGTTCAAAATTCATGGTCTACAAAACTGCTTAACGTCTGAAACGAGAATTGGGTTGTAAAAAATCAATTTTAACAAATCCATGTTATCTAACAAAAAATGAGATGGTTGACCCCTGTCCAAACCCCAGTTATGTGGAAACATAGGCGTTAAACCTTGATAAAAAAATCCTCTAAAATCCTCTATTTTTGTTCAAAATTTTGTAGTTTTGCAAAAAAAATCCTCTAAATTAAATGCAAAATCTCTTCTAAAATCCTCTAATAGCCTCTTTTTCTTATAAAAATTTTATGTGGCCACCCTGTTCTTTTCTTTTGACCATTCAAACAATGTTTGCTTTGAATAACATATTTCAAAGCAAAATTCTCCTTTTTTGATTTCATTTATGTATTATGTATTTTTCATTATAGTTCTATTTGTTAGCTTTTTTTAACAACCATTAATGAATATTTTTAGTTATGTCTAATTTTAGTTACATTTGACACAAAGGTATTTTATATTTGAGCCTTTAAAGTTTGCAGTTTTATCAAAGTATTTGAAGTTTTATTATTATAAAACTTATAATAATAAAACGGAACTGTGAGGAGGTCTTTTGCACTTATATGCAATAGACCTCCAATAATTCCAAGTTCCAATAATTTAGTGCATGCGAACATTGAACAGTTTGTCATTGTTCCTTGTGAGCAGAATCGCATGAAATAAAGTAAATACACAAATATATTATGAAAGCATTCTTGAAAGAAACAGTTGTTTACATGGGATTTCCTTACTTTTATTCTTAATAAAAGTATCGATTTTGAATTATTTAACTTTATTTAACTATTTTAAGGCTAAATTTATATTATTTATATATTTATACTTTTTATATGTTTGTTTTAAAGGATATATATATTTAAAGGATATAAACAGTATAGATTTTAAACTTAAAATGGGTAAAATAAACTTATATTAAACTAAATCAATGTCTTTTTAAAAAAAAAATAAAACAAATCTCATATAAACAACTGTTTCTTTCAAGGTTACTATCTTAATTTATATGAGTATTTACTTGTTTTCATGTGATTCTGCGCATAAAGTACCATGATATAATAATAAATATGTGCGCACATAAAGTTATTGGAACTGTGAAGACGTCTATTCAAAATGAATGTCCAAGTTAAACAAAATATTTTACTGAAGGGACACTAAAAACAGTATGAGTTAGCAAATGGTCTGACTTAGCAAATGCTCTGACTTAACCAGGACACGACTAAAATAGATGGTATAGTAAGTTGATAGAGAAAGTTCTAGGGGAATTAAAAATTTGTCTGACTAAGTAAAAGTTTGACTTATCCATGTCTG